ATTTTGGTCACACTGTATAAAAGATGGCAGAAACAAGGTCACGTGACTTATGTACTAAAGGGAAACACTTCTGATGGCAGAGGTGAGGGACAACTGCAGGAGGAAAATCACTGGGAAACACAGGGGTGCTGTGTTGGCATATGGGATCGCATTCAGAATGGTCAGTAAAATGTGGTGATGGGATGCTACTGGGTTCTTATAAAATTGCTCCTGTTTCCTTGATGAAGCATAAGAGAGAGTTATTGGTGCTGGAGAGGATTGTGAAGTCAATATTTTGGCAATTAGGACAATGTAGATACTAGAAAAGTGTAGTAGTCTCGGGCAAATGAAAATGTTCATTCAAGGTTGCAAGCACTACTACTTTTCAAATTCTGTTCATGGGTTGGACTAAATGTTCAGACATTTCAAAGCAATCTATAAATTCAATGCAATCCTTATCAGGATTCTAATGATATTTTCCACAACAATAAAGTTCATATGGAGCCATTAAAAAAAAAATCACAAATAAATCCTGAATAAAGGCTGGGGATTTGGCCCAGTGGTTCCTCTGCCTGCCTCACAAGCACAGGGCCCAAGTTCGATTCCTCATACCAAAATAAGTAAATAAACAAACAAATAAATAAAATCTTGAATGAAAAGAACAAAGCTGGAGGCATCATACTCATTTCCTTCAAATTACATTACAAAGCTTTAGTAATCAAAACAGCATGATAAAGGCATAAAAATAGATACATGAACCAAAGGAACAGAAGAAAGAGCCCAGACATAAATCCACATGTATAGTCAATTTTTGACAAAGGTAGAAAAAATACACAATGGAGAAAAGATAGTCTCTTCAGTAAATGGTGCCTGGAAAACTGAATTTCCACATGCAAAACAATGAGGTTGGACCTTTATCATATACTATACATTAAATTAATTTAAATTAAAGATTTAATTATAAAATTCCTTTAAAAAACATTGGAAAGTACTTTAATTTTCTTTTTTTGGAGGGGGGTTAAGATGCCAAAAGTGCTGGTAACAAAAACAAAAATAAATTAATAGGCCTACCTCAAACCAAAAGAAAACAATCAACAAAGTGAAAAGACACCTATGGAGAGGGAGAAAATATTTGCCCGCCATGTACATGTACATCTGAGAAGGGGTTCACATCCAAAATGAATGAGAAATTCCTACAACTCATTAGCAAACAAACAAAACCCCAAATCAAACCAATTTAAAAATTGGCAAAGAATCTGACTAAACATTTCTCCAACAAAGTCACACAAAGAACCAAAAGATAAATAATCAGATACCCAACATTACTAAACTTTAGTAAAATGTAAATCAAAATCACAATAATGTATCACCTCACAACCATTAAAATGGCTATTATCACAAATAGAGATAATGTGTTGGCGAGGATATGGAGAAAAGAGAACCTCTGCAAATTTTTTGTTGGTAATGTAAATTGGCAGTTATTATAAACAACACTATGGACTTTCCTAAAAAAAATTAAAAATAGAACTATATAGTACCCAGCAATTTGACTGCTGGGGGTATATATCTCAAGGAATTGAAATCATGATCTTGAAGATGTATTTCCACTTCCACACTCAGTATAGCAATATTCAAAATATACTAGACATGGAACTAATCTAAGGGTCCAAAGGTATATGAACGGATCAAAAAATGTGGCGCGCACACACACACACACTCACAAACACACACAAATTGAATATCACTCAACTTTTAAAAAAGAGACAAATCTTATCATTTGCAACAACATTGGTGAATGTGGAGGAAATTATGCTAAGTAAATAAGCCAAACCCAGAAAGATACATATTGTATTGAAATAATGAAGTGAAAATAATCAAGCTCACAGAAGCAGAGAAGGATGATTGCTAGATACTGAGATGGGGAAGAAATGAGAAGATGATGCTCAAAGAATATAAAGTTTCAATTATATAAATTAAACACATTCTAGAAATTTATATTGCATGTAGCTAGCAATAATGTGTAGCCTACTTAAAACTTTATGAGGGTAATTTTTATGTCAAGTGTACTTACATAAAACGATGCATACAAACACATGGACATATATGTGCACACATGGTAACAACACAAAAATAATAAAACAGCAGAAGAAAAATCTGGGAGGTGCTATGTATCCCTGGTCTTGATGAGGGGATGGTTTCACTGATATACAGTTATTCCCAAACTCACTGAACATTAAGAAGCACCACATTTTACAGTTCAGTCATGCGTCAATAAAGATGTCTTAAAAATCAAAAACCAAAATTCAGTTACAGAATTAAACAACATAAAACATTTATGCAAAGATGTAAAAGAAACGCTGGCATAATCATGTTTTATAGTTTTTATATATTAACTATATAAAAGTCAGATTTTAATTTTTGTAGTGTTTTAGTCATTGAAAATGCACTGTAAAGAATCAAACTTATTTTGACAGATTTTAAAGTTACTTGAAGTAAATATATACCCATTAGATTCACATTTCTTTCTTACTTTCCTCTCTCTTTTAACATGTATCATTGTTAAATCATTTGAGAATTAGTTATAATGTAGTATTTCTTCCCTCATACTTCAGCATGGAACATGGTCACTCTTCATGAACACAGTTGTAACATTCAGGAAATTAATTATAGCCCATGTCCATAATTTTCCAAATGTCCTAACAATGTCATTGATAGTTACAACTTATTCATTTATCAAGAGACACATTACTTTAAGTTCTACTAACTCTTAGTTTTCTTTTAATCTGGAGCATCTCCTATAGCTGCTTTCTTCTTTCATTTTTTTCTCTTTTTTAAATGTTTCATTCTTTCATAACACTGACAGTTTTTGGTCAAATGCTAATGCCAGTCATTATCACATCAATGGCACATCAAAACCCAAAATTTTCAGAATGTCATAGCTGTGACTTTAAAATAAGACTTATAAGAAAGACTGTAGCATTTTCTTCAAGTTCAGATGACTAGATATTGTAGGGAATAAGCATTCTTGGTATGGTAGGTATGCTTAAGCAGGACGTATATGACCAGGAAAAAAAAAAAAAGAGGCAGACATTAGAGGTAATTATGAAGAAGTTCTGATGATTCCATCAAATCTTAAGATTTGGTAAAAGGGAAGCAAGAGCATGAGGGCAGTAATGATGTTAATAAAAGGGGTAGTTCACTAACAGTCTCTAAAGTGGGAGAATTGGATCAGGAATAAGGGAAGCACAACTGATCAGTGAATACATCCAGTCTTTTTCACGAAATACATCTGTAAGCCCAAGTTTTATGTATAGGGTAAGATATGCAAGATAGATCCCACAACTGGAACTGTGTAATGAGTACCAATGCTAAGTCCTTAATTGTAAGTTTGACTTTATGTCATACTTCCCACAAGAAGATTCTCGGACTTTATTATCGTGAAAGTGTCCCTGGAAAATAGAACATAGTGTTGACAGGCAACTGTCAGGTGGAGTCTTTAGTGGTTAATGAAGTCATTAAAACGTTAACAGTAGAACTGAGAAGAGAAACATAGCACTCCCAACATTCATTATCTCTGCCCAACTGCATGTGTCTCAAATCACACAGTGTATATTGTTACCTGAGTTACCTGTACCTCAGACAGGCTATGGTTTAGTGGGCATCTTTTTCAATTATTCTATTTTGTGGCTCTTACTCATCATAGCCTAACTCTGATATAAGGAGGTGGCTAAAAGGATAACCCAACAAAAAATTGGGGAAAGGTATATTGCAACTGGTTGCCATTTATTATCACTTAATTCTACTGATCTAAGTACAAAACTGAAGGGTTATGGCTGTGATAAATACTATTGTACAAACGATACTTTATGAGCAACCTTGCACCTTAATGCAGATTCTGCCTGTGCTCAGGTTGGTTTTTCCTTACTACTGTCATCCTAAGTCAAAATACACTGAATGTCCACAGGGCATTTTTGGCACTGTGCAATGCTCTATACTTTTACAAAATGACATAGTATGAAACAGAAAAGCATGAATATAACTATCTTTTAAAACGCTGAAAATTATTTTTTTAACAATCTCCTTTCTCAAACGTGAAATAGAACTGCTGTATTGCTGTAGTCTTGTATGCTCTTTGAAAAGACTTCCTGCCTCAATGACTGAGTTGTGTTCAAAAAATGATCCCTGCCAAGCAATTCACTATAACTTCACCTTTCTTTATACCAGAAACACATTCCAAGGTTCTCACGTTGTTTTAATTCAGTAACTTTCATCTTAAAAAGCTGAATGGACAGAATGGGAATTGGCCTGTTGTCAGTTACAAGTCCCAGGGAGGAGCAAAACGCAGGTTTTGAATGCCCCCTTGTGGCTGACATGAAGAATAATGAAATACAATTTGAAATCTAGACTGTTGGGTACATCTTTCTCTATTGCCATTTATTTAAGAGAATTTATCAAGAGTTTACTATTAGGCACTGAAGATCAAAAGATAAGTGATGAAAAAGTCCACCTCATAAGGAGTTCAGAAAAATGGGAGTAAAATAGAGAATTTCCAACCTCCTTGCTAAGTACTATTCTAGGGGCATTTGTTCTAATGAAGTCATGATGGTCATCTTTATTTTTGTAGGTATTCACATGGTAATTAGTATTAGGTAGAAATCGCTAAAAAAGCAATTATTTTCCATGCAAGTCTAATTTATGTATACATATACCGTAAAAGTAGAAAAAAAAACATATTAAATACGTTTCTAGAGTTCTTGCTAGGGCAACATGCATACTTTTTCTGCTTACTCTATTAGTGCTGCTAAATTTTTAAAAATATTATTTTAATTCCACCAGATAAGCACTATCAGATTATCCAGATAAGGAAACTGAGGTGGAAGTCAGTCTTACCTGATAATTCAGTTTCATAGAAGAGATTAGAATCTGAATGGCCTGATTGCATTCACATTTCTTTGGTGGATTAATCCAAAGGCTTTTGTGTAGTTTCTAATGGTAAATATGAGGGATTTTATGAAGTCATTAACATGTCTTTTACAAGAAGAGTTAAACACAGTATACACACACACACACACACACACACACACACTGGATCATTTCCAATATCAGCTACTGAGCAGCTGTCACAGTTCTCGTGTCGGAGGAAGCTTTCACCTAGGCCCTGGGTTGGCACTGCTCAACCAAATGATACACTTGCAACGCCAAAGCAAAGTGATTACATAAATAATTGAGTTGGGTCTTTAATCCTATACAAAAGAAATTTAAGTAATCCTAATTAGATTCACCAGGTGTAGTCATGTAACAATAATCCTATTAAATTTTCAACAGAATGAGAAAGGGTGCACAATTTTTGAAGAATGTATTCCTACCTTATGTAAATCAGTAAGTCAAGATTTCATTAAGACATCTATAAATGTACGGATCTAAACCTATGTTTAGTACTTCAAATTGCTGTTCTTAATTCAGCTACTTTAAAAATCACATTGCAAAATGTTTTCATTTTCACAGATTATCCTTTGGTTTATTAAAGTGGTATCTTTATGAACACTTTTTGGTTTTACTCCATATACAGCACTATGAAATAAAAATTATTTCTATTTCCTTTTTCATAATGGGCAACAAAATGAGGAGTACCTTTCCATTACTTACAAGACTGTTCTCAAGAGATAGTGAAACAACACTCTTTTGGGAGGTTTTGACTGTTAAGTGTTCCTGTCTCAGGCTCAACACTTAATAAACCCAATTGATTCAAGGACTATATTTAATCAAATTATTTCTGGGAACGGTGAGCCAAAAATTGTGAAGCCTTTCCTCAGTTACACCCCACACTACTCCCTTCGTTCACACTCTTGTTCACTCACTGGTTCAGTTGTTCACTCATCTGCCACCCCACTTACATACAAGCATCATACAAACAGGTCATTTCTTCCTCCCCAGGAATGCATGCATTAAATTCAAGAAGCGCTGTGCTGAAAGGCACAGCTGCAGTAAAGAAAAAAATGCAAAATCTAAATCAGAAGAGGATCAGAATGTTTTAGAAATTCAAGCTGAATTTTGAAAGGCAAATAGAAATGAGGTTAAGTAGGAAGAAAGGGCTAATGGATTTTCAGAGGAATTAGAGATAGAACCTATACTCTGGGGGACTCTAAAGAAATACGTAGATGTCAGATCTAGAAGGGCCTAGGTGATTTGCCAAGTTTGAATCTTGTCCTTGCACTGAGATATTTCAAGGAGAAGAGTAAAATGAATAGTAAGGACACTGAGGCAGTAGTGTAGAAGAGCAGGAAATAATAGGAGTCTACTGCAATCATACGGACCTGTTAAAAGGAGAGGACAATTTAGTTTTAAACGTAAAGTGGTCCTCATTCAGCAAAATGCACAACCAAAACTCATACCTTGTCAGAAATACAGAATCTTGCGTGGTATTTCTTACCTTCAAAATCAGCATTTTAATAAGTTCTTCAGGCAATCTGTTTGTCTGGGAGGTACCGTTCAGAGATAAGGAATACAGCAGGGATAGTTAGTGGGGGAAAAATAAAATCATTATTTTACATTTGGTCAGTTTGAGGTTTGTGGAACATCCGAGGAAGCTGATCCACAGATGAATATATGGGTCTGGAGGCTAGAAATACGTCTGGTTTGAAGATGCAGTTTAGCATTTATCAACCTGTGGTATATGAAGCCATGGTCTGACTCATTTCTTGGGATTTGCCCAGGCAAAGTATATCCAGTTAGTCAGGCAGAGGGCTCAGGATAGAGCCCTATAAAACAGTATTAATCGTCACATACAGCAAAATGTACTCCACATGAAATAGAAGGTACTTCCAGTGGTAGGAAGAAACAATGAGGAGTTCCAACTGGCAGGATCGTCAATATTCTCATTTTCCAGCAGAGGTCACATAAGAATAGACAAGTGTCCATTGGATTTAGTAATCCTGATGGCAGAGTAAAGCTAATGGGTGGAGATTATTTCCCATTAAGTTCTTTCTTGACCTTAGTATGTGGGGATGCAATTTATAGATTCTGCTTTCAAAGTTCAGATGCGCAGAGCATGTGGGAGGAGCTTGGTGTAGAGCCAGCTTGCAAATGTTCTCTCTTCCACTAGATGTAAATTCGTTGAAGCATAAGGAAGGCACATAAAGATGAGTAAGACCCAGTCTTAACCCTCCAAGTTCATAACAAAGAATAAGACAAGTAACTAAAGTACAAGTAGGGCATTACAATTTATAAAATTATGGGGATTCAAAAGAGGAAAACACCATACGCAAACGAGGAAAAGCTACTTCTCGGCTTTTAGCACAGAGAATTGCACATACTAACACTTAAACCACATTAATTTCTGACTGTGTCTCTCAACAACCTAGTGAATTAGTGATAAAGACAGAGTCCCATTTATTCCAAAATTCAAGCAAACTTCAAACTTATTCATGAGATATTTATTAAAATAACACATTTAGGGAAAAAAATCAATACAATGTATACATCATTACTGAAAACTGTATACCATCATACAAAAAAGGATTTTATTTTGGGAAATTGATTTCTAATTTATGGCAAGTTTTACTTTCAGAAATAAAACCACAGAACACCACAATCTAATTCAACCTTAAAGGCTGGCATGCTGAGCAAGGAATGTTCTTATTCTTTGTAGGAGTTCCTTCTTTACACTGTCAGGTACCAGAGCTGAAATATAAAAACAAAAACATCACTGTAAGAAGATTCCAGGACATACAAATTTGAGATTTGACATTTTGTTCTGGGTTATCAAAACACAAATTTCATAACCTTCATGGTTCAGTTAAACACACACACACACAGCACACAGGTAAAGATGCCTGAAAAAAAGATGTATATTTGCAACTCACTGTTTTAATAAATTATAAAAAACACATTTCATATTGCTAAGAAAAAGCCGGGCATGGTGGCGCATGCCTTTAATCCCAGCACTTGGGAGGCTGAGACAGGAGGATCGCTGTGAGTTCGAGACCAGCCTGGGCTACATAGTGAGTTCCAGGTCACTCTCAACTACATAGTGAGACCCTGTCTCAAAAAAACCAAAAAATAAATAAAAAAACACATTGATAAGAAAAGACAGCAAGACTTTTTGGGAGAAAACTATTTTACAGTACACAAGAAGTATGATTTAAATATAACATTTTACACTTTAACAAAATTACCATAAGCAAAGCCAAAAGACAAAAGCTGAGGAAACGTTCTTACAAAAGGGGCTCAATCTCAAAGAAAAAAAAAATTAAAATCACATTCAGATAGCATATTTTACCAATGAAAAATATAAAATCTGAAGGTTAATAATATGTATGAGGGAAATAGGCATTCTCATATTAGCTTATGAAAGTACAAACTAGTACGATGTTTAAGAAAATGGCAATGAGGGAACTAAAATGTCTAGGACATTTGATTATGTACAGGGAAAATGGAAAACTTCAGATACAAATCACTATTTCTACAAATAAATATACAAATAAGTACACAGATCAATTAGCAGATATTCTTTTTAAATTGTTTAAATCTTCCTATAAACACTATGTACTTTAAAAGTCCACTGGAAGATTAATATGTACATTTAAAGCATTTTTAATTAAAACTGTAGTGACCAAGAGTAGATCACCTGTCTTAATATATGCTGTGATACAATGGGGTATTTAGCCAGGAGTGTAGCACCTGCCTGTAATCCTAGCATCCTAGAAAGCTGATGCAGGAGGATCTCAAGTTTGAGAAAAGTATGAGGAACAGGCAGGAAGGACCCTGTCTCAAAATGAAAGGAAATAAGGGCTGGAGATATAGCCCAGTGGAAAGGACCTGCATTCAATTCCCAGTACCTCAAAAAACAAAAGAAAAAGAAAAAAGATATCTTGAGGGGATTTCTTGGTGTAAGGAACCTGTTTAGTACCCTGAGTACAGTAGTGGTTATGAACCTATACATCTATATAAAGTTCATAAAACTACATTTAAAAAGGTCAGTTTTACTGTATGCTAAGAAAAGATTACTCTTAACAATAACAAGACTGAAAATACACAAAAAAATTATTTTTCTTGTCTTTATATGCTCACTCTCTAGTGAAGAATCTACAAGACCCCGAAAGAACCAAGACCTAAGTGCTAAAGAGGCAAAGGGTAACGTCTAACCTGTATAACCTATTCCTAAACAATGTTAGGAGATCAAGTATAAACTACATAAAACATAAAATTACATAAAAGGAAATTCGAAAACTTATATTAAAATACAAACTCATAAAGGGAATAATGAATGCTATTTTTTCTTTCCCTGAGATATACTTGAAGAAAAAGAAATCGTATTTTTCAGTTATAAACAAGATTTAAGAAATGGAATCAAATGGAATTCTGTAGCCCATTTTCAGCAGGTTACTTTTTACACTTATTTTTATTATTTCTATGTGAGGAAAAAATCTCATAGGTCATCTAATTTACCTGCTTCTACTTACAAACACAAAAAACATGAACCTTACAAAATAATTGAAAATGATGTCACTACATCCAAGTTAACAAGAATACAGGTTCCAGCTTAAGTATTACCTATCAGTGGTAATATAATATTCCCTATCTTTCCTTGCCTTCTATGAACAAGGCATTTAAAGGACAAACTAAGAAACTGGTTGCACTGTGAGTCTTAAATATGGATTATTTTCAACATGAAGTTATGGAACCACCAAATTTTTAATTAGACATTCAAGCAGACAGAGCTTCATTTATTTTTAATAAGGAAAGAGATGGTAGAGTAATGACTTAGGGGCTGGCGTAAATCTTTGTTTGTTTGTTTGTTTGTTTGTTTTTTTGGTACTGGAGATCGAACTCGAGTCCTTGCATTTGCTAGGCAGGCAGCGGACTCACTGAGCTAAATCCCCAGCCCTGGAGTAAATCTTTGAATTATTAAATATTTGAATGGATTCAGACCATATCTAGTAAAGTTTATAAATCTTAACTTCAGTTGATATTTTCCTCTGTAAAATCCCATATTTTAAAAATTATCTCTCTACTAACAACTGTATCAACCTATCAGTACAGTGTTTTAGAGGACAGAAATTTTACACCTATTGTCTCATTTGTTATTCAAAAAAACTAGAAGAGCACACAGGCCATTACGGCTCTTCCCACATGAGGCAATGGAAGTACCTAAGTTATTTTGGAAAGGGTGCTGCTTTTTCTTCTAAAAGAATTATTTGAATCAACTAAAGTAAAATATGTCTGCAGTATATGTTTCCTTTGACACAACTTGTACTCCTTACCTCTGCCTTTTGGAGTGATTTCTGCCACCAAGTCATCAACAGTAACGTGTTCTAGTCCTTTTTCTTTAATTACCTCTTATGCAAAAGCAAAAAACAAATCATATCATTTAAAATCATTATCTGTAAGAAAGATTTTCATAGAGGAAGGGTTAAAATCATGTTTTTTAGAGTATAGATTGGTCTTTTTAAAACAAGAGGACACTTCTTTTCTTTTAAATGAATATGTATAATCTTAAAAACACAATATTTTCCAGATTAAAAAGATAAAGTCTGTTCATCTTTCAGCTAAATAATCTGTACCATTTACAATAAATTTGAACTTAGAATGTTCAAATCTAACAAGTGTAAAAAAGCTAGAGACTTGTAACTGGACAGATCTTATTTTACTACAATCATACTAGGTTTTCCATAAATGTATGACAGGAGTAACAAGAGTCAAAAAACGAAGAACTACTTTTCTGGGTTGTCTTCTCTAGGCTGGGCTAAACAAAATATAAGAAAGCATATAATTAACTTTACTTGATTCCTTTCAGGTGTCTTAACTAATATTCACAACAATCTAATGGGTTAGGCATTTTTTCCACTTTACAGATAAAGCTACTGAAGTTTAAATCTGATCTGAACTTGGGTTCATCTCTAGTCTTTTACCAGTGAAAGTATATGACTTCACTGTCTATGGCTTTACTAATGTGCTACAATGCCTTCTTAAAGTCTCTTATTATTTGTATGTGAAGACACAATATCCAGAATTTCATACACTAAAAGCTGAGCCAGAAAAGATCATCTTAGTGATATGTATAATCAAGTGCTATCTTCAAAATCAGCAATTTGAGAAACTTCCATCTTTTTAAGTCTACTTAAGAGATTTTATAGATGAATATTTTAAAATAATACTGTAAAGAGATAAATTGTAATTCTTGTAAGTCTGCCAACCCTCAAGCGCTCAATTTGTTACTAAGTACAAACATACTGAAAATAACATGACTCTATATTTTAAAAGGTGAAAGATTTATATGATCCAAAGAGAAACCAGAGTATTTGACTCTATATTTTTGTTTTTTCCGGTTTAATTGAGTTTATTGGTACATTTTAGGGATACAGTACAGTTACATTCATTATTAGGATCTTGTTTGATCTATATTTTGATAGAAAATCTTGAATGCTCATGCCTCACTTAAAAGAAACCCAAACAAAATTCCTAAAAATGTAGAAATTAGGTCTATGTATACCACTGAGAAGAGGAGGCCATTAGTATGAGTTTTAATTTCTTAACTTTTTAATATTATATGAGCATTCATAGTTTAAAATAATGACTATATTTTTATTCCAGTGAAGCAAAGACCAACCCATTTTAGAGCACTGGAACTAGTTTATACACTAAGTGAAAATGATTACCTTTACAGTGTGCCTTCAACTGATCCTTCCAGCCACATTCAATTAATTTAGCTCGCAACAACTCTTTGAGGCTTTAGAAAAAGAAGAGTTTTCAAGTTAAACGATATATAACTTAAATAGGAATGTCTAAAGCAATATTTCAACTAAAAATTCCCTGCCTTCCAGTTTTGACACTTTAACCATGGCCTAATCACGGCTCTATCACTGTTATTCTTTAATCTTATGCAAATCATTTAAACTCTGGGCCTTGCATTTAATATGGGCATCAATTAAGGAGCAAAATTGAACAGGATGGACCAAAAGACTTCTCAAGGTCTATTCCATTCCACAGGAGTTCAACCTTTTGGCTTGTTTGAGCAACACTGGGTGAAGATGAATTATCTTGGGCTTTATATAAAATATATAGTAAATGTATACAAGTACCAAAACTTTCTATTTTTTATTACAACACTACCATGAAATAACAAGGCTGGGCTACAGTAGACTACTATCTGGACTTACTCTTTCCACTTACCTTCACCATTAGGAATATCACGGGTCTTGTATAATTTCTAGAGGGCTTGTACCTCTGAATCCTTCAAGTTTCAAAATCCATTCTTTGACCAGAAATTCCATTCTTTCAGTTCTCTTACTTCCCCCATTATACTTCTTATCTAACTGTAGACTGCCCCCGCTTTTCCACATTTTAATAATTCAGCAATTGGCTATGCCTATTATAATTTAATTAGCATTATCTTTTTACTTAGTGGTAAAAAAATGGTGTTTGATGGCATCATGGATACAATATTTTTATATCTCTTTGCTACACCCATTCTTACAAATCCTCAACCTTCCACCTAATTTCTTAAACAGATCACAACTCAAACCAGACTGTTACCTTGCAAACTGCTTCTCTTTTGTTATTCTTTCTACTGTATGAAATTTCTATTTTGGTATCTCATTAGGCTTTTTGATCGCAATAGGGCCAAAACCCAACTTCATATACTCTACCATTTATCATTTTTCAAAATGATAACTGATTCTTCTGGTCCTCGGACTAGAAACCTTGGCAGCACCCTTCATTAAGCTTCCTTGTTCACACTATACATTCAATCCATGAATAAATCCCAGATTTTAGTTTAAAAATATATATTCAGAATGCAAATGTTTCTCACCATCTCTGCCATTAATACCACCTTTTCTTGTCTGGACTGTTACCCAACTTTCTAAGCTACCTCTCTGCCTCTTACCTTCTATCCTTCATTCTCTTCCCACTGCTCAAAGCCCTCCAGGGCCTCTCCAATTTGCTCAGAATAAAATTCCAAGACTCAGCCAGGAGCAGCAGCACATACCTATAATCCCAGCACTCAGGGAAGCTGAGGCAGGAGGGCTGTAAATTCAAACTGTTCTTGGAAACCTTCAGATCCAGTCTCAAAAAACAACAAAGGGCGGGAAATGCGATTCATTGTGAAGGCCCTGGACTCAATTCCCAGTTCTGAGATAAAAACATTCTACAACAGCCCAAGTGAACCTCCATGATTTACCTATCCTCAGCTGTACTTATGAATTTATCTCCCCTCTCCCTCATCCAACTTAGTCTCCTTAATTTTCATGTAACTCTCAAAATTTCCAGCAAGCTCAGCCTAGACTGTTGGTTGTTTGAGCTCATTTCCTCATATCCTTCTTTTTTTTCTCATATCCTTATCTTTTCTCAGTGAAGCTGTCTGCCTTTTCTATAGAAAATGTACTCCCTCCCTTATTCTGCTTTATTCTTCTTATAATACTTATTATCTCTGACATATTATTCATTTATTGTCTGTTTCCTAGAATGTAGGTTCCAGAAGAGTACACTTAATTTTATTACTATAGCTATAGCACCTAACAGGGCATGACACATAACAAAAATTTGGTAATTTCAAGTTCATGAATGAAAAAAATCAAACAAAAACATATATAATTCCCTGTACTCATTTCTAGTAGTACTATCCTTTCAAGTTATCCATGGCACTATTCTACATGGCTCCTTCTTGTGAAAACTGATCCTGTTATTTAAAAAAAATTTTTTTTCACCTTTCCATTTCTGGTTTTTCATTTTTAACCCAAAGTAATCTTCCAACTCATTTTTCTGCTATTTTGACCCCTCCAAGTCTGTTCTCCACACAGTCTGAATAAAATTTCTGAAGTATAAATGTGATCTACTCATTCCCTTTCTTAAAATCTTTTAATAATTCCCATCATGCAACAATAAAATCAGAAACATGTTTCTGCAAACATGGCACCCTTATATCATTGACAGAAAAAAAACACTTCCTCTCCAATTAAATGAATCTGGGTAGAAATGTAATAGAAATATGGACTAGGCAAGGCTAATTACAAATTTCCTATTAACTGAGATGGTAATCAAACTGTCTACTAACAACAAAGCCAACAGAGAAAAGCAAAGATGAGAGGGAAAGAAAGAGACATTCTTGGCAATAACTTTTGCATGCCTAGACTCAATGATGAATGAAATAATTTTAAGCCGTACATTTTTTAATTGGATGAACTTATATATTTCCATTGGTTAAGTCTATTGCTGAGTTCAGTTTCTATTATTTTCAGTGGAAGGAATTCTGACTTACACAAAATCCATTCCTGTCCACTGTTCCAGCCATATGCTCTCATAATTTAACCTCTAGCTTTCTGCACGTATTTTGTAGTTCTGCAATTATTTTATATTTCTGAGTAGTATAATGTCCTAAACTGTGACTTTGCGTATTTACATATTCTATTCTGTATAGAACATCCTCTCCTTTATTTTCTTGAAGAACTGCTAATCCTTGAACCTCACCTGACATTTAATTATTCCATGAGATCTCACTTCAGTACCTTAAACTCAGAAAGAACAGAGAAGATTGCTTACACGTGCATTTCTCTTGTAAACTTTATCACCCTGATCCTGGACACCTTTCTTGATTTCTTAACCTTTTCTTTGTACTTCTAAATCCACTCATTTTTCAAGCATTTACTCGGCCAGTTAGGTACCAGGCATAACACTTGATTCTATATCTACAAAGATGTTGCTACTGTCATGGAACTTAGATCACAATGGAGGACCTAAACTAATAAAGTAAATAGTTAGATGACAACGTGATTAAATATTATGACAGAACAAAGTCTTTATTTTTTTTGGTTTGAGACAGGGTCTCACTATGTAGTTGAGACTGCCCTGGAACTCACTAAGTAGCCCAGGCTGGTATCGAACTCACAGCGATCCTCCTGCCTCAGCCTCCCCAGTGCTGGGATTACAGGCATGAGCCAACACACCCGGCAGAACAATGTATTTGGGATTTAGTAACTACATTCCTTGAGGAGGAAATACTTAAGACTTGATAAAAAGCTATAATTTGCTACAAATGAAGGGAAGAAAGACAAGTATTTAAGAGAATAGGAATTGCATAGTGCTCCATGTTGAGAGAACTTGACACGTGAACGTGATTCTATCACCTTGTTTCCCTGGTTACATTATGGCTTCAACTGTTTGAGTATATATTTCTTCTTCTCCATTATACTTCTTTGAAAGTTAACCACTTCTGATTATCGTTCTACATTATCTTCTTCCCTTAAATTCTTGCAAAGCTAAACAGACCTAAAGTATTTCTTATAAGTGTTAGGAACATAAATTTTCAATAACCACGATTTTCTTTTCACTGACATGTTTTGTTTGATACTTAGATTCACAGAACAATGTGAAGGTGGTAAAATGTAATTTATAAACACAGTTTGTAACTTACCGTTCTCTTTCTCCAGTTTCTATTAACTTTTGGTTAATCGCTGCTCTCATCTGTGCATCTTTGTTCATCTTGCTAACCTGGACATCAACATGTATGTTCAGATACAAAACACTTAAAAAAAATGTTTTCTTCTAAATCGTCTAGGCAAACATCCTAACTTGTTTAACGTTCTATCACCTGAAGGGCTGGTAAACTTCAAGTGTGCTAATGATGTCATCATTATTTACTGCACCCCAAGAAGTCTTATTCATGTAATCACTATACAATTTTCTTCCCCCACATACCTTTTATTAATGAATCTTGAGATAACTGTTATTGCAAAATTAAACATTTAAGTGCCTGATACTGTTAATTCTTTGTGTTTAAAAAAAAATACAAAATTCCCCAAACTTACTGTTACATATTCCTAACAATTTTCATTTTACAGATGAGGAAACTGAGGCATAGACAGAAAATGAAAGCAGAATTTTAATTCAGGTACTTTAGATTCCAGTAGCCCTTGCATATAACTGACTGATAATCATTCCTGCACTTTAACTGCATTCAAAATTTGGGGAAGCTATATAACCTATGTATCGATGTAAGAGTAAACACTCTCAGAGAAAAATGAAATTGTCAAGCAAGATTCTTTTAAGTGTTTTATTCTTCAGTAAAATGTATTCAGAATTATAACTGCTACAGTATGTATCTGCAAGTGTATGTGTGTATCATTAAGCACACATATATATTGCTGATGAGTAAGTGGAAAATACATCTGAAACTAATTCTTAGAAAATTCTCAACTTTCTGCAAAAACAGGCAGCCCAATCCAAAATGTGGAAATGAGAGCAAGGTTACGTTCTGAGGGTAACTAAGCCATTTAAAAGTTTAAACCTTGGAATAAACTTAGCCTTCCTCCACTTAACCTGTCATCATCTTGAATACTTTTGTTGTCTCCACCACATGAAAACTCAAGAGTAGCAATAAGTTTTCGGAGTTGGAATATATATATCCCCCCCCCTCCCTGGGGAACAAGGAAAAGGAAGAATGCAGAAAGAACTAGGAAATGTTTGCTTTTGTAGTTGGTGGCTAAGCTTTTCCATAACTACAAGGTCTGCTCAGTATGATGTTGAACTTGTTCTTGCCTTGGCTCCCAAACTGTGGAGAGTGACCTTGGACAAGTCACTTACTTCCTAAAGGCCTCAGTTTTCTCACTGGTAAAACCTGGGCGCTAGGGAATCCCTCCCATCTCAGACGTCTGGGAAACATAATAGGGCGGAGACTGCTGGAGAGGCAGGAGGGGAGGAGCCAGAAAACAAAGCGAGGACTGGCTCCAGGCCAACTCCAGAAGCACGCCCAGTCGGACAGCCCTACAGGCCCGCGAGCGCGGGTCGGGGAAGCTAACGAAAGACAGCACATCGAAAGGAGCCTGGGCCGGGCCCGGGTCCCGGCCCTGAGGACCACGGGCATAGCTCACCACCATCACCGCGGGCGAGGGCCGTCCCTTCCCAGCGACGAAATGACCCTTGCGCTGGCGACCGTTACCTACCACACTCTTCGGCTGCCCGGACTTAGACCCTCAGTAGCTCGGGCACCTAAGCACACAGAAAGCTAGAACACGCATTTCCGGGGCGGGGTCTCGCCACCCTGCCTATAATGTGAGAATTTAACTAGCGCGGGCCGCCTCCTGGCCGCTCAGCCCTCTGGGTAAGAGAGTCCAAACCCTGCCAACGCTTGGATTTTAAATTCTTGAAAGACTACATCACCCAGCGTGCAACGTGGCCAACTTTCTTACAGACACTACAATTCCCAGAAGGCGTGTTGAGGTGCAGTGGTTTCTGGGATGGGAACCACGCTACTTCACAGATTTAGGGAGTGAGGCGCGGACCTTTTAACAAACGTTTTATTTTCACGCTAGGATCTTGGAAGGTGATGGATGTGGCAGCTAACTGTTCTCTGCGGGTGAAGAGGCCTCTATTGGACCCCCGCTTCGAGGGTTACAAGCTCTCTCTCGAGCCGCTGCCCTGTTACCAGCTGGAGCTTGATGCAGGTGGGAAGCAGCGGCGCCCCCTTGCACTCCGTTCCTCTTCCCCTTTTGGCTGCCATCGCCCCGAACCTGCACACATTTTCTTTCTGTTGCGGCCAAGCAAGGTAACACGGCCTTCTTTGTGGCCGTCCTGCCCGGATGCACCGTGGGTGTCCCTCCCCGAGCCCCGCGGGAGGACAACCGGCTCCGCTCCGAAGTCGGGCACGCGGGCCGCCGGCCCTGCCTAGTCCTCCTAAGGGGCAAACTCCTCGCCTGCAAACGAGTTCCCCGAGAAGCCACACCTTCTTGGAAAACCCCCAACTCCCGTTTCCTCTGACGCAGGGCCATTTCTTAGAGGAGAAGCTACGTTGTGGAGAGAACACTTTCAGTTACACCGGTCCTGTTACACTCTGTCGTCCAGAGAATCGCTGGAAATTTTTGAAGAAATCGCGCTGCTGCTACTTGTTTATGCATTTTGTTAATAGCTCAGAGATATGAATTTTTAAAAACACATCTACGGATTCTCATGCATGTTGTCAGTAGATCACATTTTGTTAACGTCAGAGTATCAGACAAGTGTTTATTCTTAGATTAAATTCAGAAACAAATATGAGGGGCCGTTTTGTGTAACGTGATACAAAGATGCGTAAGACACAGACTGTAAGTGCCAAGACATAGCTATTGTCTCTTGAGGAGGAAGTGTCTGAATAATTATAAAATAATGTGGGAAAGCAATGATGGGGTAATGTTCAAAGTACAATGGTAATACTGAGTGTCTTTCCTGAACCAGCATGTCGGTCAGGGAAGGCTTCCTGGGGAAGTAAGTGAGTATCTAAGCTGAGCTTTAAAAAATGAGTAGGAGTTGAATATGAGAAAATGAACTTGATTTTCCATTTCCTTTTCTCGCTTTCCCACCATGCTTGTTTGTTTTTTGTCAGTAAATGACATTTTGAGTTAGCTAATTAATTGAAAATGAGATGAAACTCAAAACTCAATGGCTCAAATGAAAAAGCACTTGCTTACAAATGTATGGGTAAGTGAGGTGGTTCTTCTCGTCCTGACTGGGCTCATTCACACGTGTTTGTTCACTTCTGGGTCTGCTAGGCAGCTCTACTCATCCTGACTTGTTACCTTGAGAGTTCCCTTGCTATAGACTGGTTTATTTCATCAGTCTTCACTTTGCTCTTCTGTGTGTGGTCTCAACAGCAGGATAGTTTAGACTTTCCCAGGTGGTAACAGTGCCTAAGTGCTTTTCCAATTTGATTCCTGTATTAAACTTATTGTACCGCTGGCCAACACAAATGAATAAACCTAGTCAGTTTGGGAAGGATGCAGTAAAGGCCGTAGACCTGGGGAGGCATGAAAATCGAGATTATTAATGCAAGTCTATACAGTTCTTCATGTTGGAGTCATCTTGAGTGTATTTCTTTGTTGGTTATATCCAGTTTTTTCAGCAAGTGGATTAAATTTCACATTTTGATTTCTCCATGCCTTCATCTTAGTCTTTTGCTTGAAATACAGTTGCCTCCTGACTAACCTTCCTGCTTTCCTTTTGGAGCTTCTTCATTTCATTCGCCATAAGACTAAATTATTTTAGTTTTAATTCTGTATTTATGTGGTGGATGTTTCTTCCAATGACTGAGCTTCAGTGAAAACTTCGTGATGTTTCTGTTTTATACACTACTTTTTTCCTAATTCTTGGCACATGGAGTACTAATATGAGTTGAAAACATAAACAAAGGGTAAGAGTTCTGTGCAGAACACTTAAAACTTTTATTGCAGGTGCAAAAAACCCCTGGCACAGTGAGAAGAGTTTGATCATTGAGGACCCATTGGTCTTTTGGACTTTATCCTGTGCTTCTGAAACTTTTTTATTGGCTATTAAAATAGAGATAAACTCCCATCTGTCTAGTTTTGCAAACTTTTTAATTTGCTAAGTGGAAATGTTTCTCAACTCTTGTGTACTCATTCATCTTTTCATAAATAGATATTTTAACATAAAAAGCAAAAATTGAAATCTCACAGTAAATACTCTTCTAAATTGAAAACCTTCACTTTTTTTAAAAACTTACTAGGTTACACTTCCCTACCCCAGGTTCATCTGTGTTGGTCTTAGAAGCTGTGTTTTAAAAAAATGCATATATGGAGGCAATATGCTATTTGGAGGTTTTAAAAATAAAGGTACAGTTGAATAGTTTACCCTCATGCTCTATAAAGGTTGAGTTTAGAAGATGGAAGCTTTTGCAATAGTTCATGTGAGAGGTTTTTATTTCTTATTTTTAAAAAAATTACTTGATGATTTTTAATTCTTTTAAAAATTATCAGTACTAGAATTACTTCAATTATAGTGAGGTATAACTGAAGAGCTAACAATTTGATCTCTGTTTTCCTAATCTGAGGAGTTCAATTCAGCAAATGTTTGGTGGCTACATCTTGAAACACTAAGTTTAAGGTGCAAGGATGAAGATGTGGTTTCTTGGTCAGAGAGATTGGTATATAGGTTTACTCTCTTAATGCTATTAAATTGTCCTAGAATTCCCTCTGGTATATAAACAGTAATTCCTTTCTCTATTCCAAAAAAACTAGGTAAAAACTTTCTCATAAAATTATAAATTCTCTTTGATCCAGTAATTTTATTTCTGGACATTTATTTTATAGATATCCTTTACTTAGAATCTTCATCAAATATAATACAATATTATATATATGTATGTATGTGTATATATATATATATATATATATCTTTCTGTTTTCCTCCTGTATTTCACCTAGCTACTGCATACTTTATTCTCTCATCTTGTCTTGGTTTACATGTGATTTTCTCAGAGACTTGACTACCCAGTTAGAATCTATACTGTAAAATCTGGGCAAGTTGGAGTCTACCTTATACTTTGCGGTAGTACCCAGTATTTCATAGATTTTATCAGTTTGTAGCTTTCAATGTCTGTTTTCTCTGCCAAGACTATTAGTTCTGCATTGATGTGTCACGAGTCTTTCTTTTCAGTGCTTTATCTCCAGGGTTGGAGCATGCTTGCTGAGTAACGAGTGATTTTGTGTCACAGACACATTAAGCAGTTTTACTGAGATACTGACAATAAGCTACAGTTTAAGAAGTTTATGTATATACCCTTGAAATTATCACCATAATCAAGATTCTAAACTTGGTTATCATCCCCCAAAATTTCCTTGTGCCCATTTATAACCATTGTTCTGTTCCTCCCACATTCTGTCTTCCCTTTACTGATATACTTTATGCCATTATAAATTAGTATGCATCTGTGTATACATAGAATCATATGATGGTCATTTAATTTTGGTCTGGCTTTTATCCATCATGATTTTTGAGATCATCTTTGGTGAATGAGGGTGTATTATGATTATAATTGTGACTTTCTCTTTTTCCTTATAGTTTTATCAGTTTTTGCATTATCTTGAAGTTCTATTACTAGCCTATAAACCTTATTATTATGCTCTCTTTGTAAGTTGACCCGTGATCATTATGAAATGACCTTTGTCTCCAGTAATATTTTTTTGCTTGGGAGTCTGTCTAATATTAAACACATCATCTTTTTTGATTAATTTTACCATAGTGTATTTATGTTTTTTCCATCTTTTTACTTTCAGTCTATTTATATATTTTTACTTAATATGCATTTCTTAGGTAGAAATAGTTAGAACTTGCTTTTTTATCCTATCTGACAATCAGTCTCTTTACACTTAATGTGATTATTGGCTTGTTTAGGTTATTATTTGGTTTATTATTTCCTTTGGGAGGAATGTAATTTTCCCACTTTTCTGCATTTTTTTGTATTGAACATTTTTTAAATTGAGTTTTCTTACTTTTATTGGCTATTAACTGTAGTTCCTTGTTATAATACTGATCATTTTAGGGTATACAGTATACATTCAGAAGTTATTTGTACAGGAACAATTTAAATGACAATATGCTATTTAAGGCATAAGAACCTAATACACTTTGATTTTTCTCCTCCTGGTCCTTAGGCTGTTGACATGCATTTTTCTTTTAGGTGTCATTGAAAACTTCATAATATTTTGTTACTATGTTTCTTTAGTGAATTGTCTTTTAAAGAGATTTAAATAGAAAAAAATCTGTATTTAGTCATGTAGTTGCTATATCTGTGCTTTTTATTCCTTTATATAGATCCATATTTTATCTAGTATAATTTTCCATCTCTATGAATGACAATATTTTTGTCATCTTCTGAGAACATATCCTTCAGCTTTTGAAAACATCTTTCTGAGGCTTTTTGTTTTGAAAAGATATTTTTGCCATATATAGACTTCTAGGTTTTTTTTTCAGTACTTTAAAGATCCTGTCCTACAGTCTTCTTGATTGTATTATATTTGCTGGAAAGTCCGATATTATCTTATCTTTGTTGATCTATACATAGCGTGCCTTTTCCTGTAGCTGTTTTAAGAGTTTTCTCTTTTACATTGATTTTCAGCAGTTTGATGATGATATGCCTAAGTGGTTTTTTGATTCATATAATTGGGATTTTTTTTTTATCTCATAAACTAAGTTCATAGTTTTCATCAAATTTGGAAAAAATTTTGGTCATTCTTCCATTTCTTTTCCTTGTTCTCTCCTCTGAAGACTCCATTTACCCCCTTTCAGATTGCTGGAATGGGATACCCACTCATCAGTGCCCTTTTCATCTTTCCCCCATTCTTTTATTTTGGATAGTTTCCATTGCCATGTCTTTAATTTCATTAATCTTATTCTTTTGCAGCATTAATTTTATTAATCCTATCTGGTATATTTTTATTTTAGATATTGTATTTTGAATCTAGAAATTTGATTTTAATGTTTCTTGCAGCTTTATTCCCCTACTTATTTTGAATATTTGGACCATTTTATGTGTTCTTTCTAGGCTATTTTTTCCTTCAAAGCAGAGAAAAGTTTAGTTGATAAAGATTTAGGGTGTCGTTGGAGTAAAGGAAGGGCAAGAACCATATAGTCATTATATTTATCTAGAGATTTCTATAAAATTTGTATCTACTGCTACAACGGAAAATATGGGAAAGACAGCCAGATATACATGTTTTGGTTGCAGAAGCATTGTATAAAACAGTTTTATAGGAGCAGTGCTCCAGATGCTGGGCCTGCCCTGTTCTCTAAGTCTTGCTTCAGAATTCATTGCACAAATTTGTACATTACTCCTTATGTTTTATACTTTCATACACAGCGTAACCGGTAAGTACAAGAAAATACTTTCTAGAAGATGACTGGTCTAAGAAGTGACCTTTGTAAGTTAATGTTCTTTGCTATTCTCACCACCCCTTTAAAAAAACACTTATGTACTTATAGAAATACTAGCCTGAATAGTGACGATTTCATGTGGTTCAACATAATAGTATATTTCGAGAGAACAAGAAGCAGTAGTAACTATCATTGTTAGCACCATTAGGGTAGGAGTCAGGTCAGCTTTACTTGCCGGTGTATTCCGAAAGCCAAGTGCAGTGTCTAGTACACAGTAGACACTTCATAAATAACTTTGAAGTGAAAAGCTATAGGTTTTTGAGCCTCCATGAGGCTTTAATAGTTTTCCTATAAAAAACTGTATTATCTGAGGTTTATAAGAATTTTAGAGCAAAGATTAAGGGAAAATCTCTTCTTGTGAGGCCTAGAGTTCTATAAAGTGCTAAAAAATAAGGATTTTTTTTTTTTTTTTTTTTTTTTTTT